CGCCGGATCTCTTCGGATGGTTGCGAGGACGCGGCCAAGGCCAAGGCCAAGGCCGAAGCCGACGCCGACGACGACCGACGCCGCCGAGGGCGTGAAGGTACACCAGGCGGGGCCAGGGACTGGGATACTTCGTTCCAGAGCGTTCCGGGGGGATCTGGATCCAGAGCTCCTCCTCCTCCTCCCCCTCCTCCTCCTCCTCCTCCTCCTCCTCCTCCTCCTCCTCCTCCTCCTCCTCCTCCTGGAGGAGAAGGGGGAACGATCAGGTATTCGGCCTGACCCAAGGAGCGATAAGGAACGAAGCCTCCTTTTTTCCACGTGATTCTAGGAAGTCCGAAGGAACACGTTCTCGCGGCGGGTGCGAGGACCCGAAGGAGGACCCGGGAGGGGCGCGGGAGAGGGATCGTCGAGGTGCCGACCGCGGGGGCGGCGCTCTGCGCCCGAGGTCGGCCTCGGGGAAGGGGGGGGGGAGGAGGAGGGCCACTCGGGAGGAGGAGGAGGAGGAGGAGGAGGAGGAGGAGGAGGACGAGTTAGGAGGAGGTGTGTGAGGAGGAGGAGGAGGAGGAGGAGGAGGAGGAGGAGGAGGAGGAGGAGGTGTGTGAGGAGGAGGAGGGTCACTCGGGAGGACGAGGAGGAGGAGGAGGAGGAGAAGGAGGATGAGGAGGAGGTCGGCCTCGGGGAAGGGGGGGAGGATCCGTGATCTCCGATCGTTTGTTGTTTCAATCTGGGCATGGCTCCTCGGTTTCGGACTCCCGGGTCCGCTAAGCATTTGCAGGAGAATCGAAAACGGATCCAGGACGCGGAAGGGGTCGGGACCGCGGGTTGAACAAATTATATTGCAGGTTGTCTGGAATCGGGGATGCGGAGGAGTGCGATAAAAGGAGCTCGTGCGGGCATCCTCCGTGCCCTCTTCGTCTCCTCCGCCTCCTCCTCCTCCTTTTTCTCTTCCTCCCCCTGATGTGCGTAGTCCGATCGGCAGTTGTTTGTTGGCCGAGCTGCGCAGGGTGCCTGGCCACCTTGCTGCGGCCGAGTTTCGGCCGCGTTCGCTGGCCAGGCCTTGCTGCGTCCTCCTCCTCCTCCTCCTCCTCCTCTTCCTCCTCCTCCTCCCTCCCAGCAAGCTGCGCGCGAAGGTGGCTATGCTGCGAGCAGCCTGCCGAGGCAAAACCGCTTCGGTAAGGCAATGCGGGGCTGCCGGGACCAGGAGGGGGGAAATTCTGTACAAAACGGTCGTTTTGTGTAGAATGTTCTTCCTTTCCGGTTTTGGTGCGTGCTTCTGGCATCCCCGAGGACAGGGAGGGGGGTACTGGGAGGGGGGGAATTCTGTGCACAACAGTCGTTTTGTGTAGAGTTGTCCTCCTCCTCCGCGGGCCGCCGGCCACAGGATGACGAGGACGCCGAGGAGGGGCTCGCGAAGCCCGTGGCCCGCGCCTCGGTGCGGTGGGCTCTCGTCGCGTCCGGCCTTTGTGGGGGAGGGCCTCGCCAGGCCGCGGAACCGTCAAACAATTATTCACCTGTGGTCGCCCGTGCACCGCACCACGGTCGTAGGCGACCACATGTCCCCCTCCTCCTCCCCCTCCCCCTCCTCCCCCTCCCCCTCCTCCTCCTCCTCCTCCTCCTCCTCCTCCTCCTCCTCCTCCTCCTCCTCCTCGCCAGGCCGCCGAACCATGTTCAAGCCTGCTTTTAGCCGCCATGAAGGAAGCGGGTCCCGAGGGGAACGGGTCCGCAGGTTTTTCACCGTCTTCGGGCCCTCGGGGACCCTCACGGGCCCCAGGACGGTCAGGAAACGATTCAGGATGAAGAGTTCGTCCTGTGAGAAGGCCTTGGGGTCCAGGACCCGTTTCCCTCAGCTTGGACATTCACAAACAAATATGGGGCCCAAGGGGCAGGCGTCGCAGTGGTGGGCAGGGAGTTCGTCCAGAGGAGGGCGTCTTTACGAGGAGGCGGTTGCTCGGAATCCCCCCAGAGATACGTTCCGTAAGTAGGCCTGGAGCAACAGAACTCAATATTCAAATCGAACGACTAAAAGTTGCATACACATAATATCTTCACGCTTCGCGTATCCTCATCAGTTCGTTACGTTCAGAAACCCTGCCCGTGAGAGCTGAAGGGAAAAGGGGCGACGGGACACATATTATTAGTGAAACAAGGCGGGCGACCAGGATTAACAGAGAGATCTTTGGGAGAATGAGGGTCTTCGAGGGTCTCTTCGGTTCATCCCTGGAGCCCGCGCGGAGGCAAGGGGAGGCCGAGGAGGAGGAGGAGGAGGAGAAGAAGGAGGAGAAGGAGGAGGACGAGGAGAAGGAGGACGACAACGGTGACCACGACAACGACCACGACCACGACCACGACGACCACGACGGCGAGGAAGGAGAGGAAAAGAAAACGGAAGACGTCATTTGTGTGTGTGTGTGTGTGCCCTTGGGCCGCGCGGGCATTGCGACAGCGCGCGTCTGAGCGGCCAGCCGGGCTGTCCCGTGGGGCAAGTCTGAAAGTGAAGCTTCCCGGAATCCACGAAGAGGAATACGAAACAACAGCCTGGCCCGGCGCGTGTGGGCGTTGGCCTCGCAAATGTCGGTACCTTTGGGATTGATCTGGGCCGCGGTGTCGGGTGATGCGAGCGGGGAGGACAAGAGGATAAGGAGATGCATGGTAACATGAGCCCAGTAGCTTTTTGCTTCCGCAGCGTCATCCACAGTCACGGCCGACAGTACCTTAGTTCCTGTCCCCCGCGCCATTGCTGCACGAGGCTGTGTTAACCAACCCGGTGGTGGATAGGAAGAGAAACACCGACTAAGGGAGGCGGAAAAAGTTGGAGCGGATTGCGCAGCGAGTTGCAGGTTCTGGTAGACTTGAGGTCCTAAGAAAAATCGCGAATGGCATTGACGATACGGCAGGCCAAAGACGGGAGGGTACCATCATGAGGAGATGTTGCCTTATGCTGGTTCCTCCTGGTCTGTTCATTGTTGCGGGGTCTCCCGATGGTGTTATGGTAACCCTGCGCAAGTAGATACTGACAGCCTGCCGTTGCAACATGCATCGGTCTCGGAATAACTGAACACTTGCCAGGACTGCTAGGAAAACTAGCATTTTGCGCACGTGACAGGCAAAAGACGGGAGGGCACCATGCTGATGTCACTTTTGCCTCGCGAGGACACTTCCAGGTCCACTGGGACCTTGACGCATTCGAGGGGGACAGCAGGATTGAGAAGTGTGCTGGCCGCCGTGCAAGCGAAGGTATGCTCCTCCTCCTCCTCCTCCTCCTCTTCCTCCTCCCCCTCCTCCTCCTCCCCCTCCCCTAGTTTCGGCTCGCGAGGTGTGCCCCCTGGGTGCCTGCCAGCGCAGGCGAGGGCCCCCCCGCGCGCGCCGAGACCAGCGCACGGCACGACGCCGCCTAGGGAGGCGGCCAGCCATCATCGTGCGCGACTCCGCCGAGCGGCGGATCGCGCCCTGCTGCACGCCTGGGCGGGCAAGTCCACGCCCCGCATCCAGGCCCTGCTGCAGAGCGCGGCAGAGAGGCTCAACGTGCACCACGGCTCACCTTCGGGTTCGATGGTGCCGCAGCCTGATGAACGACCAGCACGGGTTCTACATGGGCCTCGTGAGTCCACGTGGGGCAACCCCAGCTGCGGCACGAGTTCAAACTGGGCTTGCCGCGTCGTGTGCCGCTGCGGCAAGGCGGCCCCCTTCTACGTGGTGCAAAAGGCAAAGAAAACAGATCAGAAAGCCAGAGCGTCGGGCAAGAGCGGTTCACCTGCAACGAAGTCGCCTTCGAAGTCTGTGGGTGGGGCGGGCCTTCGGTCTACCCTGGCCCCCTTGGCTCCCGAAGCGAAGGAGATGGCCAATATGCAGAACCAGTTCAAGCACCTCATGGCAGAGAACAAAAAACTCAAGAAGATCAAGAAGATCAATGGCAAGACCGCGGACATGGAGATCGACGAAGGTGAAGATGGAGACAACGTGGCGGAGTCTGCATCGGTGGCACAGCGTACGGAGCTGCAGGCGAAGATCTCCAAGTATGAGCAGACCTTCAAGATGTACAAGGACGATGGGGAGGACGAGCTGGTGCGGGACCTTCAGAAGAAGCTGGAGGAGACCAAGCTGCAGGTTCAGTCGCTGCGCACGCCTGTCATGGCCCCCACGCAGTGCACGCAGAAGCTACAACGGGTTCAGAAGCAGATCAGCACGGCAAAGCATGACGTGCAGTCCCTACAGCAGAAGTTACAGAAGGTTCAGAAGGAGCAGGAAGAGAAGAAGGTCCACCGAGGAACAGATTCGCACGACGCAGCTTGCAGGGCACGCGGCCAAGCTCAGTGGCACGACTGAGGCCGGCCTGGAGGTCCCCCCCGACATCGTGCGGCTCGACCCTGACCTTGACCAGCTCAAGTCGGACCCCGACCTGCTGCAGTTCTATACCTCGTTCTCGGCCAACCCCTTGTTCGCAAGATGGAGGAACTGTACAGGCAGAACATGGCGGCCAAACTTGCTCAGGCGAGGTATCCTGAGCCTCCTCCTGCTCGCGAGCCTGGCGTTCACAACGGCGACGGCGAGCCTCAGGGTGGAGGCAAACCTGCAGCAGACGAGCAAGGAGGTCGACATGACAAACGGGAGTCATCCTCTATGTTGGAAAAAGACGACGTCGAGGAACTCCACCGCGTCATGTACCAGGGCAAGAGCGAGAGCGACGTGCCCGCCAGCCCCGAGCAGCTGGCCGAGATGGTCGCCAACATCCAGAACACGAAGCATCGCAAGCTCGACAGCGGAGGGGCGGCCAATACGGGCGGCTCCCAGCAGCGTGGGTGCTGAGGGCAAGAGCGAGAGCGACGTGTCCGTCAGCCCCGAGCAGCTGGCCGAGATGGTCGCCAACATCCAGAACACGAAGCATCGCAAGCTCGACAGCGAGGGGGCGGCCAATACGGGCGGCTCCTAGCAGCGTGGGTGCTGGGCGACGGGTGCCAGCCGTGACAGGGCTGAGCACTCGGCGGTGCGACTCGGCGGCGGCATCGATGCCGAGCGAGGTGCTGGAATCCCACTTCATCGAGACGCACAACGCGAACCAAGGGAAGCAGACGCTTAAGAAGAGGCTAAGCTGTGCGAAGTCCCTCATCGTGCTCGCGCAGGAAATAGGGTACCACGACTGGGAGTGCGAGGCTCTCTGCCCCTGGTGCACCAGCCGCAAGTGGAACGTCATGGTCGTTCCAGGCCCCCCTACGGCAGGCAAGCCCCCCGCGGCGGGTCTGGCCATTTTTGCGCGCGAAGGCATCGGGCTACGTGGACCTACTTACCCTGCGTCGAGCCCTGCAGCACGGAGGTCCACTATCAACGAGCAGATCTCGTTTGGCAGCGAGCTGGTACCGTTTCGCGCCCAACATGCAGCGGTGGAAGTTCCTGGGTGGCCGACGCTCAACATTCGCAACATCTACCTGCGCACGGGCGAGGGCATGTTCTTGAAGAACGCCAAGATCCTCATGAACGTGGGGCTGGCGCTGGCAGGGCAGCCGAACCCGTCCATCATAGGTGGTGATTGGAACATGACGGCGGCGGAGGTCGAGGCATCGTCATTCACGGTTAACGCCCAGGTCCCGCTGCTGGTGCCTAAGTCAATCACATGCAGGAGGGCGACGGCCAACTCGGTGATCGACTATTTCGCTCTCACCTCGGGAGCCATTAGGCTCGTCAAGGCCGTCCAAGCGGACATGAAATGGGCAATCAAACCACATCGGTCAGTGGTCGTGGAGCTGGCCACTGGGCAAGCAGCTGATGTATCTCACCTACGTGGGCGGTGGCAAGATCGCGGCGACCAAGCAAGTGGGGCCCATGCTGCAGGATGAGCACGACTGGCAGCTCGAAAGAAGTTACGCTGAGGGTGCCGCGGAGATGGCCTTGTCTGGCTCGGTGGGGTCTGCCTGGCGACTGCTGTCTACCGCATGGGCTCGGTTTGCTGTGCAAGCGGCGATCAGACTTGGGCATCTCACGGGCGCGCCAATCCAGGCGCACTCGTACGGCGGCTACTTGCGACCGAAGTGGGTCTACTACATGTATGAAGGGTCGGATCAAGAAGGCATTCAGGCTGGGGCTGATGGCTGGAAGCGGTATGAGAACGCGCTCTCAGCGATCGCGAAGCTCCAGGCCCACCGGCCCTCAGTCGATGTGAACAAACTGCAAGATGAGATCCACGGTTTCGTCACTACCGACTACGCTGGGCAAGGAGTCAGTCAGCGTCTGGATGCTGTAGTGGCTCACGCTCGGCGGGCACCTGCGGCACCGAGTACCTCAGCGCAGGACCTCACCAACATGATTGAAGAGGCGGCGGAGGACACCGGCACGGCCAAGCAAGCAGCGGATCGTGACAGTGCCCAACGTTGGAAGCAATGGTGCGATGGAGCCAGTGAAAATGGAGCTGGACGGCTACACCGAGTGACGAAGTACCAGGACGTTCCGGCACCCACGATCGCCAGCGGCCAACCTGACCAGTTCCAATCTCATCCTCATCGTATAGTGGAGGATGCTGAAAACGTGCACATCAAACTATGGCGCTCGACGTCCACTGCGCCACCAGCTTGGGCACCTAATAGAAGCAGCCTTCCGAGAGCGACGGCGTCGGCCATCAAGGGAGCATCGGCAAGCTTCTCGACACGCACATCTGGCAGCTTGGATGGCATTCACCCGTCGCACTACCAGCACTTGTCTGACGCTGGCTTAGAGGTCCTCAGTGCGCTGTGGGAAGCCAGCGAAAGGATTGGACTGTGCCCCAAGCAGCTCACGTGGATGGTCATGCCGATGCTACCGAACGCGGCAGGCGGCCATCGCCTCATCATGCTCTACTCATCTAGTTATCGGGTATGGCAACGTGCGAGGCGAGCTGAGTTTGATGAACTTCAAGACCACGTGGCCAGAAGTTACTGGGGAGCGGCGTCGGGCAGGTCGGCGATTGACAGTGCCTGGAAGCTGTCGGCGCGGGCTGAAGCGTGTGTATCGAGGTTCAGGCATACGGCTACCCTCATCGCGGACTACGGCAAGTACGATGGAACGATCGAACTGGTTCAGGAAGTTGTGCCGTCTGGGTGCGAAGGATGGTCACATTAAGCTGATTTTCAACCAATGGCAAAGCCCGCGAATCATTCGAGCACGCTCTCACCATGATATGCGGGCACAGTTTGCGACATATGGACTCCCTGCAGGAGATGGATATGCAGACATTGTCATCAAGGCTCACGCCGTTGAGGAGTATGACGCCTACACCGCGCTGCACCAGTACATCTCCTTCTCGTCCTACAACGACGACACTGGCGTCGGCGTGGAGGGCGACGCCAAAGAGGAGGTGGTCCAGAAGGCGATCAGAGCAGGGCGTGGCTTTCGGGAGGTGGCGAGTAAGCTGCAGGCGTCCATCAACGACAAGTTCGCCATCGTGAGCAGCTCAGATGACATCAGCAAGCAGATCGCAGAGGGCTTAAAAGTGCAGAACCAGTCGGTCAAGCCAGCAGTATCATTCCTGGGCACCGACTTCCCTGGGGGAAAGAGGCGCGGCACGCGAGGCAAGTACAAAGCTAGAGCCCGTCGTCATCAACAAAGGCTCCGCCAACTCAGCAAATTTCGGAAGGTGATCCCGACGAAGGCGGCGGAGCGCATATCGCGCATCTACAGGACGGGGGCCAAGCCTGCGCTCATCTTTGGAGTGGAAATCAACGGCATGAGTGACAGCGAGCTCGCTAAGTTTCGAAAGACCTGCCAGAGCCAGCGCAAGCCTTACCATGGGGGAGCGTCAGCATCGGCAAAGCTTGTGCTGCTTGGAGATCCAGCGGTACATGAAGCGCTGGCTCCCGCCCTCCAGTGGTGCCGCATGTGCTGGATCGCCAACCACTGCCCTCAGGCCGCCACCGTCGACTTCAGCGAGCTGATTCAGTGGTGGGACAATGCAGTGACGGCAAAAGGGATATTTACGCAGTGGAGTCAAACACGGGGACCACTGCAACGTGCAGCTATGTGCGTTCAAAGGGCAGGTTGGGAAGTCGTCAATGGGACAACCAGCGCGGGGACATCGTGGACATCACCCAGACCACGCCCGTCATGCTTGAGACTCTGCTGCCACAGGGTCTTCACCTACAGCATGAACTAGCTCTGGGTCAGAAATGGTATGAGGACCCCTCGCTGCGAGTATCCTTCGACCTCGTGCCCCCCTACATCAGGCTCAACAGCAGGAAGTTCAACACCCACCATAAGTTCTGCATCATGAGCTGCGCATGCGATGGCATCTGGACACGATCGCGGGCCAGAAGCAGGGGCTACACCACCGACGGCAAGTGCAAGTGCGGCGAGGTCGACACAGTACTACACCGTCTGGTTGAATGTCAGCTTCCCGAGGTCGCCGCTGCTCGAGCTGATGCAGAAGTAGAGGAGCATGTCCTACAACGCCTACGGGATGATGGCGATGGTGGACGACTTGTGACAGGATGCTTCACCTTTCGTGACGAAGAGCTACCGCGAATAGATCTCGGTACCCATGCCTGCGTCGTCACAGTTGACGGCGCTGATGTGGACGGAGGCCCTGAGGATATGGTACAGCTCGCGGTGCCTTTAGACACGGAGGAGATCGAGTTTGCCATCGACGGGTCGTGCACCAAACCGGCGCTACTTGAGCTGCAGCGGACAGGATGGGCGACGGTGCTGCTCGACCCCCTAGGCACGGAGGCGCTGCGAGTGATGTACGCGGCGGTGCCAGCTAGCCTGCCGCAGACCTCGGCCATGGCCGAGTACCTCGCCTTCGCCTTCTCGTGTCAGGCGGCTGACCGACTTACGACGCTGCACACGGACTTCAAGGGGACGATCAACCAGTTCAACAAGTCGGCGCAGCAGCAGGTGCAGGTCACGCAGCGGTATGGCGGCGTCTTTGGCTTTGCCCAGAGCTTGCCTGGGCTCGCACACGTGAAAGCGGTGCGACACGGCAAGGCTCACAGATCTGGGGAAGACTACGTCAACCTTGATGCCGAGACCAAGCGCATCACAGATGGCAACATCGCGGCGGATCACTACGCGGCAAAAGGAGCTGGACGGCATGAGGCTATCACTGGCGAGCTCAATGAACGGCTAGAGCAGCACCAGCTTCTGTGTAAGGACACCACTAAGTTTATAGCGCACATCGTGCCCATTTTTGACCAAGAGGAAGAGCGGTGGCAGAGGAACAGCACAGGCTACAAGCGCATCAAGAGCATCAGGACTGACAACTGGCACGACTGGCAGGACACGGACCTCGGTCAGCAGTGCACGCGTTGTCTACGCCTACGGCAGCCTGGCTATGATCAGCTGAATGGGTGCGCTGGGACGCCGTCTTTTCTCAAAGAACACATAGCGAACACCTTGGGTCACAGGTTGGTGGCTGTCGACCAGAAGGGCGACCTCAGTGACATGACATGCAAGGCGACAGTCTTCGTATGCATCAAGTGCGGGGCCTGGGCGCAGCAGAGGAGGAAGCTAAAGTTGCGTGAACAGTGCACCTGGCCGACGAACAAAGGCATTCAGGTCCTAAGCAACTTGCGGAAGAGCACCGGGCCGCACAAGAAGTTGGCCAAGCACATCGAAGCCAGCATGCCTCTGCAACATCGAGGCCCACAGCAACTTCAGCCTGAAAAGGTGGTTACTCGAGTCGCTCGACCTGCACCCGACGGCCCATATGACTCCGAGCAGCGCATGGCCAGGTTGCACGAGAGAATCCGCGCCAAGGAGGTGGCGAGGAAGCAGCAGGCTGAGGACGCGAATACCATGCTGGGTAACAGTGACATCATGAAGAGATCCACCAGGACGATGGCAGGTGGAAGCTCACCGACGGGAATGGGACTTCCACCTTCTGGGCTGGTTGATTGCCGAGCCGTCGAGGACTACGTGGACATGCGAGCGGACCTCAGAGACTGGGCGGCGTTGTGGTTCGAGGGTTACACGAGGCTGGCAAGTAACAGTGGGCCGTGGCAGGAGTGGCGCGTTGCGTTCGTCGCCGAGATGTTCAATCAAGGCGGCAACAACCCGTTACAGCGCCTACTCTTCAGGCTGTTCCTTGGCCGGACCTTGCAGCAGATCATTGATGAAATTTGTGGGAGCGCATGGCGACGCACCGCTGCAAGGCGCGAGGCCTTCATTCATTGGCTGCGGCAAGTTCCACCTGAAGAGCGAGTGCGTCTTGAGCGTCAACACATGCAGGCTCTTGCGGAAGTACGGAATATGTCCAGGCGGCTATTGGGAGACCGCGCCCCAGACCGACTTAGGCCACCACCTCCGCGGAGACCTGTACCTGATGATGACCAGGACGTGGACCGAGCAGTTTCTCTTCAGCAGCGTATCGGATGGCTTGCAGCAGATGGGCAGAATAGGGTCGGTGCCAGGACCTATGGCCCATCGCGTGCCCCGTCTGAGGCTGAGGAGGCTGCTGATGAGGCCACTCGAGTGCTCGGCGAGTCGCCCTCCGCCACTCCTGTGAGATTGCGCAAGCCATGGAAGGCAACGATGGCCAGCAGTCTGGCGGCAGCGCCGACAGCTACTTCGGCGGCGAGCTCGCGTCCGCGGCGCAGGCTGGCTGGCAAGACTACGGTGCGAGTTTCCCCTGCCAGGCGAGGGGGTATGCCTGAGAACGTGATGGCTAACGAGACGGCACCATCCCCTGCCAGGCGAGGGGTTAGGCCTGTGGGAGCGGTGGAGAGCTACACGGCGAACTCCCCTGCGAGGCGAGGGGGTAGGCCTCACAATAACGTGATCGACGGCGAGATCACCACCCCTGCCAGGCGAGGGGGTAGGCCTGTGGACTTCGTATGCACGGTGGAGGCTCCTGAAGGGCCCAGTGCGCATGCAACGCAGTGCGTGGCAGCCTCGGGGGGCCTCACCACCGCAGACGCTCAAGGGGCAAGCTGCCCGAATTCCCCTGCTGGGCGAGGGGTTAGGCCCATGGCGACCAGCCTCGACGACGACGAGGAGGACCCCTTCCTCTACGTCGACGGCGGCACGCTGGTCTGACTATTTCAGAGGTGCAGCTGAGTTCGAGAACTCGATGGGGATGCTGCACGGCGCGATCGCGGACCAGCTGGTCGACGCGGTCGCTTCCGAGCCGACGAGCGTCGTCGGCTACCTCGACTCCCTCCTCATCTGAGAGAGAGCGCCGCTGCCATCGCTGGCGGCGGCGACGGAGCGCGGCCGCGGCGCAACCGCGGCAGCGTTCGGCTCCTGGAGCAGACCCGCGCCTCCGCGGTCTCTCATCATCATCATCCTCCCCCTCCCCTCCTCCTCCTCGTCCTCCTCCTCCTCCTCCTACAAATATGGAAGAAACTTGTTTGATTGCGATGCCTCACGTCAGCGCGTACAATTGTGAGGCATGCAATCTTGCACGGCCGTGGCAGCCCAGCTCGAAGGTACCTGGCCCTCGCGAGGCTCCTCCCAGCCAAAGCCGCGCGGACTGGTCTCTCATCGGGATCCTGGCCGCCCGCACGTCATCGAACTGACCGGTGGCTGGCCGTGCCGTGGGCGAGGCCTCGCGGAGTACATCAATGCCCGGCAGGCCCCAAGACTCCCAACGCAGTTCTTGCGTAGGCTTTTCGACCGGACCGTCTTCGGCATGGTCTATCCCGTGTGTGTTGTTTCCCGCTCGGATCGCCGTCGGCCAGAGGCGAACGGATAATTCTGCGCGGCCCGGCCTCCAGACGGGTCCTGGCTTCTCGTGCGGAGCGAGTCGAGGAGCAGGGAGTCGGGCCGGCCGCTGCCCGTGAAGGCCGTCGTGTGGGCCATGTGGGAGACTCGTTCGCCCCTCCGTGGGGGCCTCTTGGGACGGTCGTCGCCTGTCCAAGCGGCCTTTTGGGGGCAGTCCTGGGGCCAGCTGATGAGCTCCGTGGGGTCTCAGGAGATGTAGAAGAAAGAGGAGGAGGAGGAGGAGGAGGAGGAGGAGGAGGAAGAGGAAGAGGAGGAGGAGGAGGGAGAGAAGGAGGAGGAAAAAGGTGAGGAGGAGGAGGAGGAAAAGAAGGAGGAGGGGTCTCTTGGGCCGAGTCTCTTGAGATGAAGGGGGCAGTGGCGCCAGCAGAGCGCAATGCGTTTCGTTTGAGGGGGAGCTTCGGGGGATAGAAGCTGTCCTCCCTCCTCCTCCTCCTCCTCCCTCCTCCTCCTCTCTTCCTCCTCCTCCCTCCTCCCTCCTCCCTCCTCCCTCCTCCCTCCTCCTCCTCCTCCTCCTCCTCCTCTCCTCTCCTTCCTCCTCCTCCTCCTCCTCCTCCTCCTCCTCCTCCTCCTCCTCCTCCTCCTCCTCCTCCTCCTCCTACCAGCGCACTGCGATGTAGTTTGGCCTTTGCGCATCGGCGCCCGCGGTCTTAAGGACTCACAGCCATCCGCCGACATTGGGGCCATGCGGGCGGGGTAGGGGATGGGATGGGCAACAGCTCAAAGAGTTTGGGGCACAGCAGTAGGCCTTCCCCCGATCTCTCCCCCATCCCTTCGTCGTCGCCCTGCTTCTATACCCTACGCTCGGCACAATGCAGCCCCGCGCCGCCGCCCCATCCCGCGGGTGTCTGAGGTGGCGGCTGCGGAGAAGCAGGTGAAGAAAAAGAAGGCCAAGGTGAACCTCAGGAGTCACGGGTGAACAAGACTTGCGCCAGTTCCGCCACTGATGCCGGCCCTGGGAGCCCAACCGCATGATGATGTTCCCACGTGCTGTAATGTGAATTCAACTGGGGGGCAGGAACACTCAGATGCGAGGCATATTTGAGCTGATTGGAGTTCGAAGTGGACGATTTGCGGGGCAATCGCCCTTCCCTCCCCATCGCCCTTCATCTCCTTCGCCCTACCCCTGCCCATCCCCCGCCGACCTCTCCCCTCGTCCCTGCTTTCATCTCCTGTCTCTTCTCCCGCCACTCCATTTCCTTTTCTTCTCCTCTGCACGAGCCCGTTGCACAGACCCCCCCTCTGGACCCGCCCTAGAGCCTACAAGCAGCCAGCAGATCCCCCTCTGACCCTCTGAATTCTCCGCCCCTCTTCTTCTCCCTTCTCCACCCTCCTCGATCTTCCTTCTTCCAGCGCCTCCGATCAGCTCACTGAGCTCCCCACAGCCTCCTCCTCCTCCTCCTCCTCCTCCTTCTCCTCCTCCTCCTCCTCCTCCTCCTCCTCCTCCTCCTCCTCCTCCTCCTCCTCCTCCCCGTCCTCCTCCCTTTTCCCGTGCAGGAGCGCGCGGGGCTCCGGCATCCATGCTTCTCCCGGGCTGGGGCAGGCATGCCAGAGACGCATTGTGGCTGCCTCTTCCTTGTTCGTGTCATCATCCCTTCTCCGGGGCGAGGAGGTAGGAGGAGAAGGAGGAGGAGGAGGAGGAGAGTGATTATTCTTTCTGTTTGGGAAGGATTTTGGCTTCTGAAGGGCCCCCTTGGGGAGCTCTTTGGCCACTTGGGGCGGTCTTGGGGCCTCTTGGAGCATCTCGGGAGCCATCTTGAACGATCTTGCGCCATCTTGAGCCATCTTGGAGGTTATCGTGGGCTTTCTGAGGCCCTCTTGGAGCCGTCTTGGGCCATCTTGGACGCCCCAACGCGTCGCGAAACGCCCCGTCCAGGTCCATGAGGGAGGAGGTAGTAGGAGGGGCCCCGAAGGGGAAGAAGGGGGGGTGGAAGAGGAAGCTCCCCAGACCACCTACGCCCAGAGGGCTGGTGGGATTTTGTCACGAGGCGAGGATGCGAGAGCCCTCTGGACGTCTCGTGTGCGGGATTGGAGGGCGAATTCGTCAGCGCCCACCTGGCAACGAAAGGGCGAGCGTACTGCTGCAACAGCGGCGGGACAGGTCGAGCGAGTTCTGGGCCGCAGGGGTGGTTTGGGGCGAATCCGCAGCTGGACCTCGCGGCGGGCCCCGCAGTGCAGAGTACGGATGCAGAGCGCCCGTGGCCAAGCAGATGCCCGAGGGGGCCGAGTCTGCGAGGGCGGCCGTGGGCCAGCCAAGTTCTTCGTCGGCGACTGTGGCAGCGGCCCCGACGGCTGCTCCGGGGCAGGGCTCGGAGAGCCGGGAGGGCACAGTGGCGCAGGAGTTCCAGGTGAAGCCGCAGCAGCTGCGGGCCGCGGAGAAGACGGCGCCGCCGCCGGAGCAACTGCAGGGCAACGGGCCGTGCGTCAAGCTGAAATGCTGGGACAGGTTGAAGAAGGAGTCGAAGGTTGTTAGGGGAGTTGCCAAGCCCCAGCCCCTTCGAGCAGACGACCAGGAGCCCGCCGAGATTGAGGCCAAGTCCCGCAATATAGACCCTGGCTTGGACCAAGTGGCGCTGCCCGACCGCGCGGCCGTGGCGAAGCAGCCCAAGAAGGAAAAAAGGGTGAAGGTAAAGAAGGCCAAGGCGATGACGAAGTCGATGCGCCAGGCAACTCTGTTGGTGCAGAGGGTCGGCACGTCGGAGCAACGCTGCGCACACAGATGAGGGGCCGAAGACTGTAGGCAAGCTCGGGGCGATGCTGCAGCCGGCCTGCAGCCCAGAGTTTCAGAGCAGCTTCCAGCCAGCGCTGGGCGGCGAGGCCGTTCTGGTCGTGGGCTTGTTCCGGCATGCGAAGGAGGCAGTTCGCTTCGGGAGCGGCTCGGGAGGCCCCCTGAGTCTGCTACGGCACGCCTCGAGTAACAGACCGAGGTTCGGACAGCGACTGTTTTTGTATCGGTTCTTACAGCGGGAGGTGTCCATCTTGCGCGGGCTGTGGTTCGGCCATAGCGTGGGTTGTCACTCTTCGGGGCAGTTGCAGCGTGAGCTGCCAGTCAGCGCGGGTCGTGGCTCGGCCAACGCACGGGCCTCCGCTGACGGTGTCGCCATAGCGCGGCACCGTTCGCCAGAGTGCGAGGGAGTTTGCTCCATTTCCTGATTCACCTGGTTCTCCTCCTCCTCCTCCTCCTCCTCCTCCTCCTCATACTACTACTACTACTACTACTACTACTACTACTACTACTACTACTACTACTACTACTACTACTACTACTACGACTACTACTACTACTACTACTACTACTACTACTACTACTACTACTACTACTACTACTACTACTACTACTACTACTACTATACTACTACTACTACTACTACTACTACTACTACTACTACTACTACTACTACTACTACTACTACTACTACTACTACTACTACTATACTACTACTACTACTACTACTACTACTACTACTACTACTACTACTACTACTACTACGACGACGACGACGACGACGACGACGACGACGACGACGACGACGACGACGACGACTACTACTACTACTACTACACCACCACCACCACCACCACCACCACCACCACCACCACCACCACCACCACCACCACCACTACTACTACTACTACTGCTACTACTACTACTACTACTACTACTACTCCTTTGAATCCATCTGAGCTTCCCCAGCCTCTCTTGTGGCAGTGTTCCTCCTCCTCCTCCTCCTCCTCCTCCTCCTCCTCCTCCTCCTCTTCCTCCCCCCTCCTCGTCCACCTCCTGACATCTCCGTGAACATTCCTCCCTCTAGGAGGTCAATCATGACCAGCGATGCCGCGGCCATCTCCCCGAGCTTTACGCTGGAGATTGGCGCCAGGGCACCGCCCCCCCCTTCCACGGCGGAGGAGGAGAAGGATCGAACTTCGATCTCCA